CCTCCCATCCCTGTCCCCATCCCTGTCTCCACAGTGGTCCTCTGTCCCCATGTCCTCATCCTGGTCCCCACGATTGTCCTCTGGCCCCACACCCTCATCCCTATCCCCATGTCCCCATCCTGGTCCCCATCATTGTCCCCTGGCCCCACACACTCATCCCTGTCCTCATGGTTGTCCTCTGTCCCCATCTTGGTCCCCATCATTGTCCCCTGGCCCCATGTCGCCATCCTGGTCCCCATCATTGTCCCCTGGCCCCATGTCGCCATCCTGGTCCCCATCATTGTCCCCTGGCCCCATGTCGCCATCCTGGTCCCCATCATTGTCCCCTGGCCCCATGTCGCCATCCTGGTCCCCATCATTGTCCCCTGGCCCCATGTCGCCATCCTGGTCCCCATCATTGTCCCCTGGCCCCATGTCGCCATCCTGGTCCCCATCATTGTCCCCTGGCCCCATGTCGCCATCCTGGTCCCCATCATTGTCCCCTGGCCCCATGTCGCCATCCTGGTCCCCATCATTGTCCCCTGGCCCCATGTCGCCATCCTGGTCCCCATCATTGTCCCCTGGCCCCATGTCGCCATCCTGGTCCCCATCATTGTCCCCTGGCCCCATGTCGCCATCCTGGTCCCCATCATTGTCCCCTGGCCCCATGTCGCCATCCTGGTCCCCATCATTGTCCCCTGGCCCCATGTCGCCATCCTGGTCCCCATCATTGTCCCCTGGCCCCATGTCGCCATCCTGGTCCCCATCATTGTCCCCTGGCCCCATGTCGCCATCCTGGTCCCCATCATTGTCCCCTGGCCCCATGTCGCCATCCTGGTCCCCATCATTGTCCCCTGGCCCCATGTCCCCATCCTGGTCCCCATGGTTGTCCTCTGTCCCCATGTCCTCATCCCTGACCCCACAGTTGTCCTCTGGCCCCACACCCTCATCCTGGACCCTATTCCTGTCCCTATGGTTGTCCTCTGTCCCCATCCCTGTCCCCATGGCTGTCCCCTGGCCCCACTGCCACCCCTGTCCCCATCTCTGTCCCCATGGCTGTCCCCTGGCCCCACACCCTCATCCTGGTCCCCATCCCTGTCCCCATGGTTGTCCCTTGGCTCCATGTCCTCATCCTGGTCCCCACGGTTGTCCTCTGGCCCCACACCCTCATCCCTATCCCCATGTCCCCATCCTGGTCCCCATGGTTGTCCCCTGGCCCCACTCCCATCCCAGCCCCCGCAGTTGTCCCCACGGTTGTCCCCTGTCCCACCAACTCCGTGCCGCAGGTGACCGATGGGGACGGGGAGGCCGTGCTGTCCATGGCCACCCTGCGGCAGCGATTTGTCAACCCCGAGGAGCTGGTGGGACACTCGCTTTACGTCTCCGTCACCGTCATCACCGAGTCAGGTGACCAGGGAGGACCTCAGGGGACACGGGGGGGGCTTGGGGGGTGAAGGACAGCGGGGACGTGTGGGGCCACAGGGCTCTGTCACAAGCTTCGATGAGTTGAGTGGGTGGGGGGACACCTGGGGACACGTGGGGCCAGCAGTGGCATGTTGAGTCAAAGGATGGGGAGATGTGGGGTTGGGGACACCAAAGGATGGGGAGATGTGGGGTTGGGGACACCAAAGGATGGGGAGATGTGGGGTTGGGGACACCAAAGGATGGGGAGATGTGGGGTTGGGGACACCAAAGGATGGGGAGATGTGGGGTTGGGGACACCAAAGGATGGGGAGATGTGGGGTTGGGGACACCAAAGGATGGGGAGATGTGGGGTTGGGGACACCAAAGGATGGGGAGATGTGGGGTTGGGGACACCAAAGGATGGGGAGATGTGGGGTTGGGGACAACAAGGATGGAGACACCAAAGGATGGGGAGATGCGGGGTTGGGGACACCAAAGGATGGGGACAAGTGGGGTTGGGGACACCAAAGGATGGGGACAAGTGGGGCTGGGGACAACAAAGAATGAGGAGATGCAGGGTTGGGGACACCAAGGATGGAGACATCAAATGATGGGGAGATGTGGGGTTGGGGACAACAAGGATTGAGACACCAAAGGATGGGGAGATGTGGGGTTGGGGACACCAAAGGATGGGGAGATGTGGGGTTGGGGACAACAAGGGTGGAGACACCAAAGGATGGGGAGATGTGGGGTTGGGGACACCAAAGGATGGGGAGATGTGGGGTTGGGGACACCAAAGGATGGGGAGATGTGGGGTTGGGGACAACAAGGGTTGAGACACCAAAGGATGGGGAGATGTGGGGTTGGGGACACCAAAGGATGGGGAGATGTGGGGTTGGGGACACCAAGGGATGGGGAGATGTGGGGTTGGGGACACCAAAGGATGGGGAGATGTGGGGTTGGGGACACCAAAGGATGGGGAGATGTGGGGTTGGGGACACCAAAGGATGGGGAGATGTGGGGTTGGGGACACCAAAGGATGGGGAGATGTGGGGTTGGGGACACCAAAGGATGGGGAGATGTGGGGTTGGGGACACCAAAGGATGGGGAGATGTGGGGTTGGGGACACCAAAGGATGGGGAGATGTGGGGTTGGGGACACCAAAGGATGGGGAGATGTGGGGTTGGGGACAACAAGGATGGGGACACCAAAGGATGGGGAGATGTGGGGTTGGGGACACCAAAGGATGGGGAGATGTGGGGTTGGGGACACCAAAGGATGGGGAGATGTGGGGTTGGGGACAACAAGGATGGGGACAAGTGGGGCTGGGGACAACAAAGAATGAGGAGATGCAGGGTTGGGAACACCAAGGATGGAGACACCAAAGGATGAGGAGATGTGGGGTTGGGGACAACAAGGATGGGGAGATGTGGGGTTGGGGACACCAAAGGATGAGGAGATGTGGGGTTGGGGACACCAAAGGATGAGGAGATGTGGGGTTGGGAGACACCAAGGGATGGGGAGATGTGGGGTTGGGGACAACAAGGATGGAGACACCAAAGGATGAGGATACATGGGTTGGGGACACCAAAGGATGGAGACATCTGAGGCCACCTGAGGCCAGAGGGTGCTGTCCCCTGGGGTGGAGACCTGGGAGCCCTGTCCTGGCGCTGGGTGACACGACCCTTCCGGTGGCCACCACAGGCAGTGACATGGTGGAGGCCCAGCGTGGTGACATCAGCATCGTGACGTCCCCCTACACCATCCACTTCACCCGCACCCCCAAGTACTTCAAGCCGGGGATGCCCTTTGACCTGATGGTAATGACACCTGGGGACAGGCTTGGGGACAGCGGTGGCCTTGGCCCAGGACCCCCATGGCACCAGGGTCCCCAGCGTCACGATGGGGACAGGACAAACCTTGGGGGGGGTCTAGTGGGTGGAGGACACTCGGGTGTCACCTGGAGAGGGCCGTGGTCTGTCCCTGTGTCACCTGGATGGCATCGGGTGACATGTCCCTCACCTCCGTGTCCCCACGTGATGTCCTTCACGTCACACCACGTCCCCCCAGGTCTACGTCACCAACCCGGACAAGTCCCCAGCTCCTCGTGTCGCCATCAAGGCCGATGGCTTCCAGGGGTTGGTCACCACCCAACGCGATGGCACGGCCAAGCTGGTCCTCAACATGCCGGCCAACAAGGACAGTGTCCCCATCACCGTGAGTGGCACCAGGGTGGCCTTGGATCTGGGGGGGGCCAAGGTGGCTGGGGACAAGGGTCCCCTGGTTGGGGCTGCTGAGACAGCCAAGGTGGCTGAGATGTCCATGGCGGCCAAGGAACATAGCCAACGTGGTCACCATTGACCAAGGACCAAGATTGGGGCACCAGAAGGACCTAGACATCCATGGTGGCCAAGGATGAGGGCCACCATGGTCACCATTGACCAAGGACCAGGATTGGGGTAGCAGGAGGACCTAGACATCCATGGTGGCCAAGGATGAGGGCCACCATGGTCACCGTTGGTCAAGGACCAGGATGCCCAGTGTCAGGGAGAGTGGTGGAGATGTCCATAGTGGCCAAATTGTCCATGGTGGCCTGTAGCCAGGGTCAGCACGGTTCACCAGGATGGCCATGGTGAGTGGGATGGGAGTGGTCAAGATGGTCACGGTAGCCAAAGGCTAGGAGGGTCAGCCTCAGGAAGACCAAGGTGGTCTAGTTGAGTAGACTCAGGTAGACCAGGGCAACCAAGACCTTGCTGGTGGCCAAGACCTCCATGTTGACCGGTGCCCATCTTGGGCATCTCCTGGGGTTCTTGGGTGGCCCTTGAGGGGCTTGAGTGGTCCATGATGGAGACTGGAGACCATGGGGGACTTGAGCATCTCCTGGGTGGCCCTTGAGGTGGCTCATGATGGAGATCAGGTGTCACTTAGGTGTTTTGGAGAGTCCATGGGGTCCTTGGGCATCTCTTGGGGTTCTTGGGTGGCCCTTGAGGGGCTTGAGTGGTCCATGATGGAGACTGGAGACCATGGGGGACTTGAGCATCTCCTGGGTGGCCCTTGAGGTGGCTCATGATGGAGATCAGGTGTCACTTAGGTGTTTTGGAGAGTCCATGGGGATCTTGAGCATCTCCTGGGTGGCCCTTGAGGTGGGTCATGATGGAAACTGGGTGTCACTTAGATGTTATGGAGAGTCCATGGGGATCTTGAGCATCTCCTGGGTGGCCCTTGAGGTGGCTCATGATGGAGATCAGGTGTCACTTAGGTGTTTTGGAGAGTCCATGGGGAACTTGGTCATCTCCTGGGGTTCTTGGGTGGCCCTTGAGGTGCCCCGTGATGGTGATTGAGTGACACTGAGGTGGTTTGGAGAGTCCGTGGGGATCTTGGGCATCTCCTGGGGTTCTTGGGTGGCCCTTGAGGGGCTTGAGTGGTCCATGATGGGTACTGGAGCCCATGGCAGACTTGGGCATCTCCTGGGTGGCCCTTGAGGTGGGTCATGATGGAAACTGGGTGTCACTTAGATGTTATGGAGAGTCCATGGGGATCTTGAGCATCTCCTGGGTGGCCCTTGAGGTGCCCCGTGATGGTGATTGAGTGACACTGAGGTGGTTTGGAGAGTCCGTGGGGATCTTGGGCATCTCCTGGGGTTCTTGGGTGGCCCTTGAGGGGCTTGAGTGGTCCGTGATGGGGACTGGAGCCCATGGTGGGCTTGGGCATCTCCTGGGTGGCCCTTGAGGTGGCCCATGATGGAAATTGGGTGTCACTTAGATGTTTTGGAGAGTCCATGGGGTCCTTGGGTGGCCCTTGAGGTGCTCCATGATGGTGATCGAGAGCTCATGGGGGGCTTGGGCATCTCATGGTGGTCCATGTCCATGCTTCTCCCTGGTGACCACCGTGTCCCTTGGGGTGGTCCGTAGGTGCGGACGGACCAACCGGGGCTCCCCCGTGAACGTCAAGCCAAGCTGGACATGGTGGCCAAAGCTTACGGTAGCCAAAACAACTCGGGCAACTTCCTCCACCTGGCCGTGGGGGCCACCGAGCTCCAGCCTGGTGACAACCTCCCCATCAACTTCCACCTCAAGAGCAACGACGCCAACGTCCGCAACTCCGTCCCCTACTTCACCTACCTGGTGGGCACCCTAGGCCTCTGCCCCCCAACTGCTCTCCGTCTTGAGGACCTAGATGTCCAGGTGGCCACCAACCTTTACCTTGACTTGCCCGCCCGTAGATCATGAGCAAGGGGCGCATCGTCCACGTTGGCCGACAGCGGCACGAAGCCGGCCAGAGCTTGGTGACCATGTCGCTGCCGGTGACGGCCCAGCTCATCCCCTCCTTCCGCATCGTGGCCTACTACCACGTGCTGCCGAGAGAGATCGTGGCCGACTCCGTCTGGGTGGACGTCAAGGACACTTGCATGGGGACCGTGAGTGTCTTCCTGATGTCCCCGAGGTTGGGGGAACCCGTGGCTGGGGCTGGGAAGGGGTTTAGGTGGCTCTCGAGGTGGTCCGTGATGGAGGTTGGGTGGGCCTTGGGGGGTTTGGAGAACCCATGGAGGGCTTGGGCATCTCCTGGGGTTCTTGAGGGGCTTGAGTGGTCCATGATGGGTGGTTTGGGTAGTCCATGGGGGGCTTGGGCATCTCCTGGGGTTCTTGAGGGGCTTGAGTGGTCCATGATGGGTGGTTTGGGTAGTCCATGGAGGGCTTGGGCATCTCCTGGGGTTCTTGAGGGGCTTGAGTGGTGCATGATGGCTGGTTTGGGTAGTCCATGGAGGGCTTGGGTATCTCATGAGGTTCTTGAGGGGTTTGAGTGGTCCATGATGGGTGGTTTGGGTAGTCCGTGGAGGGCTTGGGCATCTCATGGGGTCCTTGAGGGGCTTGAGTGGTCCGTGATGGGTGGTTTGGGTAGTCCATGGAGGGCTTGGGCATCTCCTGGGGTTCTTGAGGGGCTTGAGTGGTCCATGATGGGTGGTTTGGGTAGTCCATGGAGGGCTTGGGTATCTCATGAGGTTCTTGAGGGGTTTGAGTGGTCCATGATGGGTGGTTTGGGTAGTCCATGGAGGGCTTGGGCATCTCCTGGGGTTCTTGGGTGGCCCTTGAGGTGGCCCATGATGAGGATTGAGTGTCACTGAGGTGGTTTGGAGAGGCCATGGGGGGCTTGGGCATCTCCTGGGTGGCCCTTGAGGTGGCCCATTGATGGTCCAGATGTTCCATGATGAAGCCGTCAACTCTCCCTGGTGAACTCCAACACCCTGTGGGGTTGATGGACCCCCACGGGGAGGCTCCTGGAGGGTGCAGTGAAGGTTTTTTGGGGTCACCCCATGGCCATGATGTCACCGCCCCACCCTGTGTCCCCCCTCACCCTGTGTCCTCCCCCTCCAGCTGGTGGTGAAGGGGGCGACGGAGGCCGACAACCGGGTGCTAGAGCCAGGGACCTCCATGAAGCTGCGCATCGAGGGCGACTACAACGCCCACGTGGGCTTGGTGGCCGTGGACAAGGGCGTCTTCGTCCTCAACAAGAAGCACAAGCTCACCCAGTCCAAGGTGGGTCTCCATCCCCACGTGTCCTCCACGTGTCACCTCCCGTCAAGGTGGTGGCAGTGGCTTTTCACGGTTGTCCTCCATCTCGGTCACAGGTTTGGGACACGGTGGAGAAGAGTGACATCGGCTGCACCGCGGGCAGCGGGAAGGACAACGTGGGGGTCTTTGCAGATGCTGGTCTCAGCCTGGCCACCAACGTGAAGATCAGCACGCCCCAGCGAGGAGGTGGGGGACAGGGACAACTTGGGGGGTGGCACCTTGGGGACGGGGTAGGAGAAACCCTTGGAGATGTGGCACTTGAAGGACGAGGGGAGTGTGACACCTCAGGGATGTCCCCTGAGCTTTGAAGGTGGTCACCACGTGAAGGTCACCACGGGGTCCTGACCCGTGTCCTCTCTGTCCCCAGATGTCCAGTGTCCCAAACCCGCGAAACGCAAGCGCCGGTCCCTGCAGCTTGTGGAGTTCAAAGGCACCAAAGGTGGGTGGCACTGGGAGTGTCCCATGTCCCCAAGGGCACGGGAAGGTCCTGTGCCCCTGTAGACACTGGATTGTCCCATGTCCCTGAGGGCCACCACATTGTCCCATGTCCCTGAGGGCCACCAGAGTGTCCCATGTCCCTGGTGATACCACACACCCCATGTCCCTGTGGTATCACCAGAGTGTCCCATGTCCCTGAGAGCTACCAGAGTGTCCCATGTCCTTGAGGGCCACCAGAGTGTCCCATGTCCCTGGTGATACCACACACCCCATGTCCTTGAGGGCCACCAGAGTGTCCCATGTCCCTGGTGATACCACACACCCCATGTCCCTGAGGGCCACCAGAGTGTCCCATGTCCTTGAGGGCCACCACATTGTCCCATGTCCCTGGTGATACCACACACCCCATGTCCCTGAGGGCCACCACATTGTCCCATGGCCCTGGTGATACCACAGTACCCCATGTCCCTGAGGGCCACCAGAGTGTCCCATGTCCCTGGTGATACCACACACCCCATGTCCTTGAGGGCCATCAGAGTGTCCCATGTCCCCGGTGATACCACACACACCATGTCCTTGAGGGCCACCAGAGTGTCCCATGTCCCTGAGGGCCACCACAGCAACCCATGTCCCTGGTGATACCACACAACCCATGTCCCTGAGGGCCACCAGAGTGTCCCATGTCCCTGGTGATACCACACACCCCATGTCCCTGAGGGCCACCAGAGTGTCCCATGTCCTTGAGGGCCACCACATTGTCCCATATCCCTGGTGATACCACACAACCCATGTCCCTGAGGGCCACCAGAGTGTCCCATGTCCCTGGTGATACCACAGCACCCCATTTCCCAAAGGCCACCACATTGTCCCATGTCCCTGAGGGCCACCAGAGTGTCCCATGTCCCTGGTGATACCACACACCCCATGTCCCTGAGGGCCACCAGAGTGTCCCATGTCCCTGGTGATACCACACACCCCATGTCCCTGAGGGCCACCAGATTGTCCCATGTCCCTGGTGATACCACACGCCCCATGTCCCTGAGGGCCACCAGAGTGTCCCATGTCCCTGAGGGCCCTCAAGGGTCTCCAGGACTGGGTGCCAGTTGGGTTCCTGGGTGCCGGCAGCGGCCGAGTACACGGACAAGGCCCTACGCAAGTGCTGTGAGGACGGCATGAAGGAGAACCCCATGGGCCACAGCTGCGAGAAGAGGACCACCTACATCCAGGAAGGAGAAGGTTGTGTCCGGGCCTTCCTCGACTGCTGCAACTACATCAAGGGCATCCGCGACCAGAGGCTGCGCGAGTTCCACCTCGAGCTGGCCCGAAGTAAGTGCCGGGCACTGGGGCTGGTGGTGGTGGTGGGGCTGGTGGTGGTGGGGCAAAGCTTGGGTGAAACTTGGGGGAAGGTCAGGTGAACCTCAAGTGTTCCTTGCACTACTCTTGGGTGAAGGTCAGAAAAACCTCAGATGTTCCTTGCACTACCCTCGGGTGAAGGTCAGAAAAACCTCAGGTGTTCCTTGCACCACCCTTGGGTGAAGGTCAGGAGAACCTCAGGTGTTCCTTGCACTACCCTTGGGTGAAGGTCAGGAGAACCTCAGGTGTTCCTTGTACTACCCTTGGGTGAAGGTCAGAAAAACCTCAGATGTTCCTTGCACCACCCTTGGGTGAAGGTCAGGAGAACCTCAGGTGTTCCTTGCACTACCCTTGGGTGAAGGTCAGAAAAATCTCGGGTGTTTCTTGCACTACCCTTGGGTGAAGGTCAGAAAAACCTCAGATGTTCCTTGCACCACCCTTGGGTGAAGGTCAGGAGAACCTCAGGTGTTCCTTGGGCGATGTTTGGATGAATTTTGGGTGATGCCTGGGTGAAGATCAGGTCAATCTCAGGTGTTCCTTGTGCTGTCCTTGGGCTATGCTTGCATGAAGGTCAGGAGAACCTCAAGTGTAGCTTGAACTCTCCATGAGTGAAGCTTGGGTGAAGGTCAGGACAACCTCGGGTGTTCCTTGGACGATGTTTGGATGAATTTTGGGTGATGCTTGGGTGAAGATCAAGTCAATCTCTGGTGTTCCTTGTGCTGTCCTTGGGCTATGCTTGCATGAAGGTCAGGAGAACCTCAAGTGTTGCTTGAACTCTCCATGAGTGAAGCTTGGGTGAAGGTCAGGTGAACCTTGGGTGTTCCTCGCACTGTCCTTGGACGATGTTTGGATGAAATTTGGGTGATGTTTGGGTGAGGGTCAGAAGAACTTCAAGTGTCGCTTGCACTCTCCTTGGATGATGCTTGGGTGAAGCTCAGGAGAACCTTGGGTGTTCCTTGCACTGTCTTTGGGTGATGCTTGGGGTGGATTTTGGGCAACGCTTGGGTGAAGGTTGGGACAATGCTTGGGTGGTGCTTGGACGTGGGGTCATACTGGCTCCACCCAGGGGCTGGGCCCCTCAGGCCACGGTCGAGAGGGATGGTACCGTCCCCAGGCGACGACAACGATGATTTCCTGGCTGAGGAGGACATCACCTCCAGGAGCCTCTTCCCGGAGAGCTGGCTGTGGCAGGTGGAGCGGCTGACGGAGAAGCCCAATGATCTGAAGTGAGCCCTGTCCCCTCGTCCCACTGCCCCTCCACCACACGGAGTCATCCTCCACCTTGGGGATCTCCTCCCCTGTCCACATCTGGACACTGCCCTGCCCAGTCTGGAGACCAACAATGATGTGCCCCCGAGTCCAGACAAGGGCCATCTTTGACCCCCCGATGCTGCCTTGGGACCAGCTCTTACACTTTGGTCCAGCTCAGGGGCCATCTACAACCTCCTGGTCCAACTTGGGGACCACCTATGACCCCCTGGTCCAGCTCAGGGACCATCTACAACCTCCCAGTCCACCTTGGGGACCTCCTATGACCCCCTGGTCCAGCTCAGGGGCCATCTACAACCTCCTGGTCCAACTTGAGGACCACCTATGACCTCTTGGTCCAGCTCAGGGGTCATCTGCAACCCCCTGATCCAGTTCAGGGGCCATCTACAACCTTCTGGTCCAACTTGGGGACCTCCTATGACCCCCCTTTGACCCCCTGATGTTGCCTCGGGACCAGGTCTTACACTTTGATCCAGCTCAGGGGCCATCTACAACCTCCTGGTCCAACTTGGGGACCACCTATGACCTCCTGGTCCAGCTCAGGGGCCATCTACAACCTCCTGGTCCAACTTGGGGACCTCCTATGACCCCTTGGTCCAGCTCAGGGACCATCTGCAACCCCCTGGTCCACCTCATGGACCATCTACAACCTCCTGGTCCAGCTTGGGGACCACCTATGACCTCCTGGTCCAGCTCAGGGGCCATCTACAACCTCCTGGTCCAACTTGAGGACCACCTATGACCTCTTGGTCCAGCTCAGGGGTCATCTGCAACCCCCTGGTCCACCTCATGGACCATCTACAACCTCCTGGTCCAGCTCAGGGACCATCTGCAACCTCCTGGTCCACCTCATGGACTATCTACAACCTTCTGGTCCAAGTTGGGGACCACCTATGACCCCCCCACGCCAGTTTAGTGGCTGATATCACTTCCCTCACCTGGTTTGGAGCCGGTTTTGACCCCCTTCTCATCCTCTCCAGCATCTCCACGAAGACTCTCCCTGTGTTCCTGAAGGACTCTATCACCACCTGGGAGGTCCTGGCCGTCAGCCTCTCACCGAACAAGGGTACGTGATGGAATAGGAAGGTGTCCCTGGGCATCAAAGCAATCCCTCTAGGGTGAACGTGAGGGATCTCCGAAGCCTCGGGAGGTCTCCATGAGACTTGAGGGATCTCCTAAACCTTGGGAGGTCTCCATGAGACTTGAGGGATTTCCTAAACCTCGGGAGGACTCCATGAGACTTGAGGATCTCCTAAACCTCGGGAGGACTCCATGAGACTTGAGGGATCTCCTAAACCTTGGGAGGTCTCCATGAGACTTGAGGGATTTCCTAAACCTCGGGAGGACTCCATGAGACTTGAGGATCTCCTAAACCTCGGGAGGACTCCATGAGACTTGAGGGATCTTCTAAGCCTTAGGAGGTCTCCATGAGACTTGAGAGGTCTTCTAAGCTTTGGGAAGTCTTCATGAGACGTGAAAGAATATCTGAAAGCCTTGGGGATGTCCCTGGGACATGAGGGGCCCAGCCTGAACCCCATGTCACCCGGGGGCCACCCCACAGGTCTGTGTGTGGCCGACCCCTACGAGATCACGGTGATGAAGGATTTCTTCATCGACCTGCGCCTGCCCTACTCCGTGGTGAGGAACGAGCAGGTGGAGATCCGCGCCGTCCTCTACAACTACTGGACTCACGACATCACGGTTGGCAGGGGCACCATGTGTGGGCTTCCAGGGTGACTTCGGTGGCCACTTGAAGCCCATGGCAAACATCTCCGTGCCCTGTAGGTGCGGGTGGAGCTGATGCACAACCCAGCCCTCTGCAGCGCCTCCACCTCCAAGGCGCGCTACCAGCAGATCATCAAGCTGAAGGCCCAGTCCTCCTGGGCTGTCCCCTTTGTCATCGTCCCCTTGCACCTGGGGCTCCACGACGTGGAGGTCAAGGCCGCTGTCCGGGGCAGCTTCATGTTTGACGGGGTCAAGAAGAAGCTCAAAGTTGTGGTGAGTGGCCATCCGTGCCCCGTGGCATCTCCACCCATGTGGGGTCCACGGCATCTCCACCCACTTGGTCTCCATGAAGCCTCCACCCATGTGGTGCCACCTCCGTCCCCTGAGATGTCCCCAGTGTGGTATCCTGGGGACATCCCTGTCTCCGCTTCCATCCTGGTGGTGGTACTCAAGGATGAAGGATCTCCTCCACCCAGGATGCTCAAGCGTGGTCTTCTGGGGGTCTTCCTGTATCCCTGGGACATCCCTGTCTCCATCCTGGTGGTGGTACTCAGGGACGAAGGTCTTCTGGGGCTCTCCCAGTTTGTCCCATGACCTGGGTGTGCTTTTTTACACTGGCATGTCCCTGTCTCCACTTCCATCCTGGTGGTGGTACTCAGGGATGAAGGATCCTTCCACCTGTAGGATGCTCAAGTGTGGTCTTCTGGGGATCTCCCAGTTTGTCCCATGACCTGGGGGTGCTGGTTTCACTGGGACATCTTTCCCAGAGAGGTTGGGAAGGTGGGCGGGACCCCAAAACCAGCCCAACCTTTAGCGTTGGACTCTCCTCTCTGCAGCCCGAAGGGATGAGGTTGGAGAAGACAGTGAAGATCGTTGAGCTGGACCCGAAGACGAAGGGAGTCAGTGAGTGGCCCCTGGCTGGTCTTGGGGGTGGCCTTGGGGACATCTCAGCCCCAGAGGGATGTCCTACTTGAGGGAAGGGTCTGGGGCATCTCAGGGTACAAGGGGAAGTCCCACTGTGGGTCTGGGGCATCTTGGGGGGATGAAGGAGGGACCAGCAAGGGTAGGACTGGGGCATCTTGGGGGGATGAAAGAGGGACCACCAAGGGTAGGAGTGGGGCATCTTGGGGGGGATGAAGGAGGGAGCACCAAGGGTAGGAGTGGGGCACCTTGGAGGACAAGGGACACCCCAGTATGGAACTGGGGCATCTCAGGGGATGAAGACTGTCCTGCTTTGGGTCTGGACCAACCTTGGTGACAAGGGACATCCTTCTCTGGACCTGGGACATCTCAAGGGAGAAGGGACATCCTGGTGTGGCTCTGGACCATCTCGAGGGACAAGGGACATCCTGCTGCAGATGTGGGGCAGGACTGGGTCACCTCAGGATGGGGGGGAGGGGGTTCAGGAAGGGTTTGGGGGCCACCCACCTCCATCCTGACCCCCCTGCCCCACAGATGGTGTCCAGGAGGAGAAGGTGAGGGCAGCTGACCTCTCAGACATTGTCCCCAACACCGAGTCAGAGACCAGAGTCAGCATCCAAGGTGAGGACCAGGAGAAGGAAGGCAACTGGGGATGACCTAGGATAAGGTTGGGGGTGAGGGGGACAAACTCCTGGCTGGACATCTCCTCATCTTCTGCTCCAGGCAACCCCGTGGCCATCCTGGTGGAGAAAGCTGTCGACGGGGCCAAGCTGAAGCACCTCATCACGACACCGTCGGGTTGTGGGGAGCAGAACATGATCGCTCTGACCCCCACCGTCATCGCCACCCACTACCTGGACACCACCGGCCAGTGGGAGAGCTTCGGTGTTGACCGTCGCGCTGAGGCCATCGAATTGATCAAAAAAGGTTGGGTGGGAGGGTCTCCTCAAGGGTGGGAGGGTCTCCCCAAGGGTGGGTGCATCTCACTGGAGGGTGAGAACGTCCTCCAAAGGGTGGAAGCGCCCCTCAATTTCCTCCTTTGGGATGAAAAACATCACCATTGTCCAAGACGGTGAAGAAACCTGCACCTTTGGAGAAGACATGGGTGGGGTGCCACCAGTTTGGGGGTTTCTAGAGCTACTGGTTTGCTCTGGAGAGGGTTGGTGGCCTGGAGCTACCTCGGCTTGACTATGTGCTCCTTGTGTTGGGCGTTGGTGGCCTGAAGCTACCACTGGGTGATCCTTGAGTTGACCAACCACCATCTTCTCCCCAGGTTATACCCAACAACTTGCTTTCCGGAAACCTGACAGCTCCTTCGCTGCCTTCCTGGGGCGTCCATCAAGCACCTGGTGAGGGACACGTTGGCCACCACCACCTGGGCCCAGGTGATGGGCTGGGATGTGCCACCAAGGTCCTCCTGTCCCCTCAGGTTGACGGCCTACGTGGCCAAAGTCTTCGCCATGGCCATCAAGCTGGTGGACATCGAGCGCGAGGTGATTTGTGGCGCCGTCAAATGGCTCATCCTGGAGAAGCAGAAGCCGGATGGGATCTTCCAAGAAGATGGTCCCGTCATCCATAAGGAGATGCTGGTATGAGGGGACCCAATCCCTGTCCCTCCTGGTGGCCAAAGCCTGGAGCAAGCGTTGGGTGGACAGAATTTGGTGTGAAAACCACCATCCTGAGGTATTTTTCCCCCCTTCCCCCCTCCGTTTTGTCACCCAGGGAGGTTACGTGGGCGCCGAGCCCGAGGTGTCCCTCACCTCCTTTGTCCTCGTGGCCCTGCTGGAGTCACGGCAGATCTGCAAGGACCACGTCAACGTGAGTGGCCTCGATCCCCAACCCCACACGGGGAGAGAGAGGACGTTGGGATGGGGGGGGGGACAACTCACACTCGTCCCATGGAAGGACCTTCAAGACGAAGGTGCCCAACCCTTAGAGCAGCCACTGGAGAATCCCAATTTCCCCTCTTTTCTGCCCAGAGCTTGGAAGGGAGCATCACCAAAGCCAGCGACTACCTCGCCCGGAGGTACCAATCGTTGAAACGCCCCTACACGGTGGCCCTGACCTCCTACGCCCTGGCCCTGGCAAGGAAACTCAACAGCGAGAAAGTTCTCATGAAGTTCTCCAAAGGTGACGTCACACCACAGGGTGGTGGGGAGGGGGGACAAAACCCAGGGGGGGAGTTGGGGGGGGGGTGGAAGTAGTTATGGGTACCCTGGTCGGGGGAGAAGTCACCCCTTGAGGGTGCTGAGGGATCGGTGTCACCCCAGGGGGTAAAAGCTGGGAGGAACGCAACTCCCGCACCTACAACATCGAGGGGACGTCCTACGCCCTGCTGGCCTTGCTGCAGATGGAGAAGGCGGAGCTGGCCGGGTCGGTGGCCCGCTGGCTCGCCCAGCAGAACTACTTCGGTGGCGGCTACGGATCCACTCAGGGGGGCTACGAACCCCCCCATGACACCCATGGGTGCTGCCCACGGCATGGAGGGGGAGTGGTGTGTGATGGGGAAGAGAGAAGTTGAGGAGCTTGTTGGGGGTTGAGGGGCCCCTTTGTGGGCCTGGGGACTCCATGGACACGGTGTGGCTCTTAGAGGGGGGTGGGGTGGGGTGCGTCTCTGGTCCCATGGGACCTCAGGGCTTGGGGGGAAGGGGGGCCCTTGGGACCCGTGGGGACACGGCACGTCCTTGGGGAACACCACTGGTCCTACAGGATCTCAAGGGCTTTGGAAATCCCCAAAGACTTGTCCTTGGGGGACACCTCCAGACCCTGGGGGACACCCTAGTCCCTGGGGGACACCTCCAGACCTTGGGGACACTTCCAGGCCCTGGGAGACACCTTCCAACCCTGGTGACACCTCCAGACCTTGGGGACCCTCAGGGACACATCCTGTCCCTGGAGGACACCTCGACCCCCCAAGAGTATGTTCCAGGTGGCCCCAGAACTTGGGGACACCCTAGTCCCTGGGGGACACCTCCAGACCTTGAGGACACTTCCAGCCCTGGGGGACACCTTCAAACCCTGGTGACATCTCCAGACCCTGGGGACCCTCAGGGACACATCCTGTCCCTGGAGGACACCTCTGTACCACAAGACCCCCAAGAGTATGTTCCAGGTGGCCCCAGAATTTGGGGACACCTCCAGACCCTGGGGGACACCCTAGTCCCTGGGGGGACACCTCCAGACCTTGAGGACACTTCCAGGCCCTGGGGGACACCTTCCAACCCTGGTGACACCTCTAGACCCTGGGGACCCTCAGGGACACATCCTGTCCCTGGAGGACACCTCGACCCCCCAAGAGTATGTTCCAGGTGGCCCCAGAACTTGGGGACACCCTAGTCCCTGGGGGACACCTCCAGACCTTGAGGACACTTCCAGGCCCTGGGGGACACCTTCAAACCCTGGTGACACCTCTAGACCCTGGGGACCCTCAGGGACACATCCTGTCCCTGGAGGACACCTCTGTTCCACAAGACCCCCCAAGAGTATGTTCCAGGTGGCCCCAGAACTTGGGGTCACCTGGAGCTTCAGGGCCACCCGGGGGCTTTTGGGGCTGCTCCAGTCCATGTCCCCGAGCCTCGGTGACACCGGTGTTCCCTTGAAGGCCACCATCCTGGTGTTCCAAGCCTTGGCCCAGTACCAGGAGGTCGCTCCCCGGCAGCAGGAGCTCAACCTGGACGTGTCGGTGCTGCTGCCCCGTCGGGCCAGCGCCATCACCTACCGCATCGAGAACCGCAACGCCCTGGTGGCCCGCTCCGCCGAGGTACCCCACTGTCATTGTCACTGTCACTTGGTAGGACCAGGGGGTGGGCACGGCTCACCCTGCTCCTGCTGGCCATGGGATGGTCCTTCCATGTCCCCTCCATCTCCTGGTCCCCTCTGTGTCCTTCCAAGGATGGGATGTCCCTACTGTGTCCCTCCATGTCCCCTCCATGTCCCCTCCATGTCCCCTCCATGTCCCCTCCATGTCCCCTCCATGTCCCCGTCCCCTCCATGTCCTTCCAAGGATGGGATGTCCCTACCGTGTCCTTCCATGTCCTGGGATGTCCCTTCCATGTCCCTGTCCCCTCCATGCTCTTCCATGGATGGGATGTCCCTACCGTGTCCTTCCATGTCCTGGGATGTCCCTTCCATGTCCCTGTCCCCTCCATGTCCTTCCAAGGATGGGCTGTCCCTCCATGTCCTGTGCTGTCCTTTGTCCCCTCCATGGCTCTTCATGTCCCTCTTGTCCCCTCACTATGGCCTCGGATGTCCCTGTCCCTTCCAAGTCTCCTCCACGTCTTGTGTTGTCCCTTCTACACCCCCTCCATGTCCCCATGATGCCCCATCCCTTCTGTGTCCCTCCCGGGGGACATCCCCATCCCTCCCCTGATGTCCCCTCCGTGTCCCCCCAGACCAAGCTGAACGAGGACTTCACGGTGAAGGCCGAGGGCAAGGGCCGGGGGACCATGACGGTGGTGACCATCTACAACGCCAAGGTCCCCGACAAGGAGGACAAGTGTGACAACTTTGACCTGGATGTGCAGGTGGAGGACGTGAAGATTGGTGAGTCCCCTCCGTGTCCCATGTCCTCCCCCCTCCTAGTACCAAGTCCCCTCCATGGCACCCTCACTGTCCCCGTGTCCCCTCACTGTCCCCGTGTCCCCTCATTGTCCCCGTGTCCCGTCTCCCCACCATAGGCAGGGAAGAGGAGGGCGTCTTCCGCTCCGTCAAGATCACCATCTGCGCCAGGTGGGACAGGCTGGGGACATCGGGGACGTTGGGGACATGGGGGACATTGGAGATGGGGAGAGGGATACTGGGGACAGGGACATCAGGGACATTGAGGATGTGGGAGATGGGGAGGGGGACAGGGACATGGGGGACATCGGGGACAGGCTGGGGACATTGAGGACATGGGGGACATCAGGGACATTGAGGATGTGGGAGATGGGGAGGGGGACAGGGACACTGGGGACAGGGGGACATCAGGGACAGGCTGACGACATCAGGGATGTTGGGGACATCGAGGACATGGGGGACATCAGAGATGGGGATAGGGATACTGGGAACAGGGACATCGGGGACAGGCTGGGGACATCGGGGACATTGAGGACATGGAGGACATCAGGGACATTGAGGATGTGGGAGATGGGAAGGGGGACAGGGACATTGAGGACATGGGGGACATCGGGGACAGGTTGGGGACATTGGGGACATTGGGGACATGGAGGACATGGGGGACATCAGGGACATTGGAGACGAGGAGAGGGGTGATACTGGGGACAGGGACATGAGGGACATCAAGGAGATCGGGGACATGGAGGACATCAGGGACATCGGGGACACTGGAGATGGGGAGGGGGACGGGGGGTGATACTGGGGACAGGGACATCAGGGACATTGAGGATGTGGGAGATGGGGAGGGGGACAGGGACCCTGGGGACATGGGGGACATCAGGGACAAGGTGGGGACATTGGGGACATTGAGGACATGGGGGACATCAGGGACATTGAGGATGTGGGAGATGGGAAGGGGGACAGGGACACTGGGGACAGGGGGACATCAGGGACAGGCTGACGACATCAGGGATGTTGGGGACATCGAGGACATGGGGGACATCAGAGATGGGGATAGGGATACTGGGAACAGGGACATCGGGGACAGGCTGGGGACATCGGGGACATTGAGGACATGGAGGACATCAGGGACATTGAGGATGTGGGAGGTGGGGAGGGGGACAAGGACATGGGGGACATCGGGGACAAGTTGGGGACATTGGGGACATTGAGGACATGGGGGACATCAGGGACATTGAGGATGTGGGAGGTGGGGAGGGGGACAAGGACATGGGGGACATCGGGGACAAGTTGGGGACATTGGGGACATTGAGGACATGGGGGACATCAGGGACATTGGAGACGAGGAGAGGGGTGATACTGGGGACAGGGACATGAGGGACATCAAGGAGATCGGGGACATGGAGGAAGTCCCCCTGTGTCCCCTCATGTGCCCTGTGTCCCCCCTGTGCCCCCCTGGGTGTCCCCATGTCCCCTGGGTGTCCCTCTGTCCCCCCTCTGTCCTCCCATGTCCCCCTGTGTCCTCCCATGTCCCCTGGATCCCACCATGTCCCCTCTGGGTCCCCCTGTCCCTCTGTGTCCCCTTGTGTCCCCACAACCCCTGGGTGTCCCCCTGTGTCCCCCCATGTCCCAGACAGGGACATGAGGGACATCAAGGAGATCGGGGACATGGAGGACATCAGGGACATCGGGGACACTGGAGATGGGGAGGGGGACGGGGGGTGATACTGGGGACAGGGACATCAGGGACATTGAGGATGTGGGAGATGGGGAGGGGGACAGGGACCCTGGGGACATGGGGGACATCAGGGACAAGGTGGGGACATTGGGGACATTGAGGACATGGGGGACATCAGGGACAGGCTGGGGACATCGGGATGTTGGGGACATCGAGAACATGGGGGACATCAAGGAAATTGTGGGGACATCGAGGACATGGGGGACATCAGAGATGGGGAGAGGGATACTGGGGACAGGGACATTGGGGACAGGTTGGGGACATTGAGGAAATGGGGGACATCAGGGACATCAAGGAGATCGGGGACATGGAGGACATCAGGGACATTGGGGACATCGGAGATGGGGAGGGGGACGGGGGGTGATACTGGGGACAGGGACATCAGGGACATTGAGGATGTGGGAGATGGGGAGGGGGACAGGGACCCTGGGGACATGGGGGACATCAGGGACAAGGTGGGGACATTGGGGACATTGAGGACATGGGGGACATCAGGGACAGGCTGGGGACATCGGGATGTTGGGGACATCGAGAACATGGGGGACATCAAGGAAATTGGAGATGGGGAGGGGG